CTACGTTTTACTTATGTACAGCTACCGTACTATCTAGCTTATATGGCAACACAAGCCTTTACTACTCTAGAAATAGTCTGACAGAAAGCCGAATCGTCATTTATTCCAAAAGGCTATTTTAGAACATTTCAAATGACACTTCTCCGCCACCGTTTAACTCATATTTGCGATGTTTAAGAAAATCTCAAATATATTAACGACATTGTAACTTACTTAAAAAAAAATCTACTTTCAAATACTTTAAAAAAACTAAACACGGACATAACATTGGTACAAGAAAATAAGCTTTAATATTGAATTAAAAACTTCTTAGTACGTAGCTTAAAATGTCAATGAAGTGTCAACTTACGTTTTTTCCCGCCGATAAACTACGCCGTTAGTTATATTGTGACGTGCTCTCTCCAGCCCATCCCTCAGGAGACAAAGGACAATTCTAAGAGGTGAAAGGAATCCTTTTCGCGCATGCGCTGTTATCCAGCATCCCTTACTTTTACCACGAATTCGCAGTCACCCTGAAACTACGTAGTTTACATATATGCAAGAATATTTTGCATTAATATTTGAAAGGGTGTGTCTACATTGTTTTTAAACTAATTGTCGACTGCGACTCCGTTCTGGGGAGATAAAAACTTAATTAGTTGCATGTGTGCTTTCATATTTGTTTTATATATGCCAAATTTCAGTTTAAACATTCGCATGCATAATATTAGTTATATAGTATTACCCATATTAAAATAATGTATATTGTGTTGGCATTGTCGTAGATACGAAATATTGGCGCGGTCCTGGCACACCTTAATTCTACATTTATAACTTGCTTAACAGTTTCGCGTGATCTCAATATCACCCTGTATATCGTCTAATCGGCACAATCTAGATTTTGACATTTTGAAAAACCACAAGAAAATAATATTGTTGTCCTGTTTTTATTCACAGGGAGTGAGAAAGACAACGATATGTCTTTATACTGATACAAGGGTTTCGATATTGAAAATCCACCGAAGCAAAAACAGTAATTTGTGTTACTTTGACGTTTTCGCAAACAATTTACCTCCTTTGAGAATTCCTTTATTATTTAATATACTGTGATTGGAAATGAGATTACTGTTTAGTTTTGTTGTTCAACTGTTTTCACAATTTTGAGGTTTTTTAAAGGAGAATGAAAGAGACAATGATATTTTTATAAGAACCGTACCACGTATTGTAATAGAACTTTACCACAGATTGCCATAAAAATAACCTTTATAATATTTAGAACATATCCTAGTAATATAAAAATGCGAATGTTTAGATGTATGTTTGTTTGAATGTATCTCCAGAACGGTTGAACAATCTCGATGAAGTTCGGCATACATGTAGAACATAGTCTGGAAGAACACATAGGCTATTATGTTTTTTATTTCGCGTTGACGAAGTCACGGGCGACAGCTATAGTTTGATAAAAATAAAATTTTTGAGATTTTGTTTGTTAGAAAAAGTTGCATTTATGCCAGATGTATAAACAATTTCACGCGTCCTACCCTTTATCATTTCCCGCCAAAAATGCCAGACTCGCAAAATGTGTAGAACAGCATAGCTTTAATTCTATAAAATATAATGCAACTTAAACCGTAATCTCAAACAATAAGATCGATTTTACTGTATCACCTTCTTATTTTATTCACTTCAAATTAAATCCTTCGTTTTAAAACATTTTAATGTTTGCTGTAAAAACTAATTTTTTCTAATAAAATAGCGAGAGCATTTTTTTATCAAGATTATGTTTTTAATTAATTAACTGTCGCACGTTACTCCGTCCGAGAGGAATTAAAAAGTAATAAGTAGTCTATTTTCTTTCAGACTATGTTCTACATCTATATGCCAAATGGCATCAAGAACTTTTGAGCCGTACTAGAGATACCTTCTAACATCCATTTATCTGATCTTTATTTATATTAGTCAGATTGCTTATATTATAAAATTACCTCGTATCACAAGGTCGGTTGCATTAAGAAGTAGGTCACAAGATCGATATGTCGAACTTGAAAATTTCTCTCCCGGGGGATGCTGTGAGGAGTGTCATAAACTTTGATGTATTCAAATGTTACACGACATAAGAATAAATATTCATCTTACCAATATTATAAATGCGAATGTTTAGATGTTTGAAAATATCAACAAAACGGCTGGATGGTTCTCACTGAAAGGCATAGATGTAGAACATAGGAAGAACACATAGGCTACTAATTAAGTTTTTCTTTTAAATTCCGCACGAACGGAGTCGCGGGCGTTAACTAGTATCGTACCTAGAGAAATATACGCGTGACACGATATATTTATTAAATGGAAAGTAGAAGTCCCCTCTTCTGCCCATTAAAAGCAGGCAGTTGCAACCTTCTAACTTGAAATTACTGTGCAGCGGTCACTTCGCTATTTTAGCGAAGTCTGGTGACCGCTTTGTACTGCCAATTTACTATTAAAATAGCCTTTATTTATACCCGAAATCATTGTTTAGGCATAGATTATTTAGGTCTAATAACATTTTTTAAATAGCACATTTTAAAGACGTCTTCTCAGACCCTTTTTTTAAGAGAAGGGGGCAAACAAGCGGGAACACCGAGGTGATCAACGACACCCATGGACATCTGCAACACCAGAGGAACTGCAGATGCGTTGCCGACCTTTAGAGTTTCTAAAAGATAGGAATAGAATTATTAATTTATCTTCTGGTACATATTGTATATTGTTAAGCAATGGTAATGTAAGGGGGAATGTGGAGGGGAGGGGCAGGAGGTCCCACGGGAGCGAGGCGCGACATCCGCGGGGAGCGCGCGGACGTGCCGAGATCCGGTGAGCACTGTTTCACACGATATTGACATAATGAGGATATATCATGAGATATTATGAACAGTCAAGCTTTATTTTGGATATTACCTAATATTATAAATGCGAATGTTTAAATGGATTAATGGATACATGTTTGTTAGTAGGTATCTCTAGAATAACCGCATGAATTTCGCTGTAATTTAACATAGATGTAGGATATAGCCTGGAAGAACATAGATTACTAATCGGACATAGACGACAGCTAGTAATTATATTAAATCATGGAGAATGTAGTTAAAAACAGACAGATACGGACCAATATGAGAAGGATAGCTTTCAAACGAAAATTTCATTATTTATGGTCTTCACATACCTCTACAATTGTAGGCGTCTAAGCTCCACGATTACGAGAAACATATCACTGCTAAAGTATTATTTTGCTATATTTTTTTAAAGCATAAAGTATCATCAGCTCACTATACGTCCCCACCAAGGGGCTCAGAGCCTACCCTAAGTTAAGGGTGATTAGGCCATAATCAACCACGGTGGCTAAGTGCGGGTTGGTTGACTTCACACATATCTTTAAATCTCTTCTCAGATATGTGTAGGTTGCATCACGATGTTTTCCTTCACCGTAAGAACGTCGGATAAATGTACATATGCAAATCGGAAATCGAAAAACACATTGGTACATGGCGGGATTCGAACCCAGGACCTGCAGATTGCAAG